ATTAGGGAGGCACTGACTCAGGGGTAGGGTGGGAGCACTCTCCCAGGGTAATAATAGTGGTGGCAATGAGGATCTGCTCCCCACTGAAGCGGATCAACTAGAATCTTGGAAACACTCCTCCAAGTTGGGTGAGTCTGTTTGAAAGTCAAGAGAGGTTGTCATAGATGCCATGCAGAGTCTGTTTTAGGACCCCCAATGCTAAGAATGCTGACTACTGATGGCTTACGGATAAAACCCTCCTTGTGAGCTGTCCTCAGCGGAAGGATGCTTAGTGCCCAGATGATACAGCTCCTTCTTGAGACAAGCCACTTCTGACGCCCATCTATATGCTCTACTGACTACTCTCAACGTGGACTAACCCTTGTATTTGTTTGTTGCTGCTATGGAGATTCCATCAGAGAAGACTACTCAGACATGGGTTTAAGCCAACAGAAAAGTCTTTATTAGCTTGCCGGCAACTACACTGGGTGTCTGGGATCTCTCACAAGCACAAAAACCATGTCCTGGGTTGACATACTTCAGTTAGCAAGAATAGTTAGTTAGAAGCAGAACTACAGAAGCAAGAAAGCAAGATCAGTACTCTTACAGACTTTTCCAGTGCTATGGACTCTGATGGATTGGGTGTTTTTTTTTTTTTTTTTGGCAGGTGGAGCTGAGTTTTAGGGCACCATCATGGCGTCAGTGTGCTAAGGTCTGGCGGCCTCTTCTGGTGCCTCCATGTAGCACACCATAAGCCACCTTCCTCCCCAATCAGCCACCTGATGCCAATTATCTGTCTCCCCACCTGCTCCTGCAGAAACCAGCCTGCATCATAACCGCAGCTTCACCAAGACATGTGTTACCAACCAGTTCAGATTGTTCTCTTTACTTATACAGTGATGTTCCATGCGTTATGTCATATCTCAACTACTCAACCTCAAGCAATGGTCACAAGAGTCCCGGTGTGACCATCCTTCCCCTCCCTGAAGCCCTTCAGTGAACCCTGCCCATTCCCAGCTTCATTGTTTGAATTTCTTTAATTCTAAGTTCAAAGCAGCTCAGTGTATAGCAGGGCGGGAGCTCAAACACATGCTAATATACAAAGTCCGTAGATGTGGAAAAATCATATAATTTGCAACAGACACCGGAATATAGTTTGCCCTAAGATACCAAGCATAACAGCACAAGGAAACCTATGAATTTTCTCATTATTGTTCCAACACCCAGAGGCAAACACTCCTGAATTTGGCTTTTAGCATGTTCATGCTTTTAAAAAATGGTATTAATAAAACAGAACACTACTAAATGGCTTTGTGCCATATGCATCTACTACAGACTTTTCAACAGTGTGAAATTAATGTTGAGATTAATGTATGTAAAAGTAATTTATTTCTATTACCACAGAGTATTCTACGGGGAAACGGATTTGTCAATTCTCCTGCAGATGACAGTTTGATTGCTTTTTTCCTCCTCACCACCTCCATAAGGAGAGAAGATGAGATCAACATCCTTTTCTTTGCTTAGCTGAGTAGTCTGCTCCAGGGTACACACCCTGAGGGAAACTGCTGAGTTGCAGAATATGTTTAGTAGAAATTTCTAAATGGCCAGGTATTGAATGCACTTGAACCCCTTCCTGCAGGCCACAAAAGCCTGTCTTTGTTTACAAATCCACATTTTCATCAATCTTGGCATTCACCTCATTCTTTTCCTTGTCAAATGGTACATTGTTGCTTTTGATTTAAGTGACTAGGCCTTAGTGAATGTAAGCCTCTTTCTCTTGCTGCTCAGCAACTGTTTGTTTCAACTCCAGTCTTAGCTAGACACTGGAGAGGTGGAGTGGGAGCATCAGGAGACCAGCCTGAGTGACAGCCAGGCTCTGTCCTCCCCAAACAATTCCACTCAAAAGATTTCTCACCTTAGTACTTCGGGCATCTATCCTGATTCTTGCACAGGTCCCAATCCCAACTTCACATTGCTGTAACTGTAAAATCCACCATCTTATATTCTCCTTTTGAATCCCACTTATACCCTTTCCAGAGCATTTCTAAAGATTCCCCACCTTAGCTTTGTCTTTGTGACTGTCAGTCATGACAGTGCTGTCCCAGGGTTTTGTTTTGCCCCTGCTTCTCCAGCAACCTGTCTCTCCTATGATGTGTGTTCTCTAATATAGTGTCTGGCTGAGATTCAGTACAAGCCACACATAAGCCTATGCTGTACACAGGTTTAATCTTAGCTTCACCTCTTGCCCCAAGACAGCATGCAGAGAACCCTACAGGCAACTGTGGACGACTAAATTCATGGTACCACTGTCACACCTAACCTGTCACTAGCAGCTGCTGCTTTCCCCTGTGGTCTTATACAGCTTTTTCTTCCTTTCTGCCCCCACTGTTCCTCCTAGTCCTGCTTGCTCTTTGCCTTTTCCATCTTTGGATAAACCAGACTAAGCTGGAGAGAATCCAGTCTTTGGTGTTGCCTGAAGGGGATCCCTAAGGCTACTGGGACCCTATCTCTGGGGAGGTGTCACTGGCTGAGGTCAGGAAGAGATCCCTGGAGCTTTTTCTTTTCTTTTCTTTTTTTTTTTTTTTTTGAGTCAGGGTCTATATAGATCAGGCTGTCTTTGAACTCACTGAGCTCCTCCTGCCTCTGTCTCTCAAATGCTGGGATTAAAGGTGTGTGGCACCATGCCTGGACCCCCTGGCCTTCTTGAATTCCACTGAGAGGGATTCTAAGACTTTCCCCCAAGTACTGGGAACAGAACAGGCATTATACATGCTAGGTCAGCACTGTCCCACTATGTCCCCAGCCTTCAATATATACTCTTTAATTCTTCTGAGACAGAGTCTGACTACACAGCCCCAGCTGACCTTACACTTGAGGATCTGTTATGTGCAGCCTCTGATGGCTGAGATTATACACCTGTGCCACCATGTTCAGGTTTTATTTATTTTAAAAAACATGAAACACTGGGATCATGAGATGGCTCAGAGGGTAAAGCATCCGCGTCAGAGGGTAAGGGACTGGAGTTTGGATTCTTAGCATCCACATACAAATCCTGGTGTGCTCCAGAACCTTAATGCTCAGTGGGCAGACAAAGCGAGACCCCTGGAACAGCAATTGATGAGGGCCAGGTATGGTGAGACAAAGTCTCAAAAGATAAGTTGGCCAGTAATGGTGGAAAACTTCTACAGTTGATTACCGGCTTACACACAGATGTACATGCAGAGCGTGCGCACGCAAACGCAAACACACACACACACACATCAACAGGTTGTGTGTCATCCTTTTGCAAGAGCCATGGTAATCTCTGTATTATTCCAATTTTAGTATGTGTGTTACGAAAGTGAGTACGCCCAACCTTTGATTTCCATTCTCCTGCCTCAGTCTCTTAAGAAGCTGGGGCTATAGCTATGTACCACTAAAGTTTTCTTTCAGGGAGCTCTCTAGGCAATGCTAGGAAATGGTTATTAGTTTAATTTGGCAAGATCTCTCAAATTCCAGTCTATTCGAAACGGCATTTCAGGGAGAACCTGAAGCTATGCTCTATAGGTTGTGTCTGAGGGGATCACACAGCATCTGTTGACATTGTCTGATGTTTCCTGAAGTTTCTTCTTTTGTCAAAAAGGGTTCCTGGAGAGGCCTGCAGTTGTCAGCCAGACAGCAAACATTTACCATGCACTGCTTCAGGTCCTGAGGCCATCATTGAGCAGGAAATGAAAAAGAGGAACAGGCGCCACTCAATTTTGCAAAGTAAAAGCGTCGTCTGGTACACGTTGCATTTAGCAAGGAGTCACAGAAGGCTTTACTCTTAAAAAATGAGTACAAAGTTGAGATATAGAGTGCTGAGCCATTCACCCTGCTTTGAGTACTGAGGACAAGTCTGGCATATATACAACTGGGCTAATGCATACAAGTACTTTGTTGTGATTTCTTGCATCCACCAAGTGCTAAGTCAACACCACTGGTCAATATGTCTATTAGTCTGGGTCTCTGAGAATACAGTCAGGGCCTGGGTTAAACAGGGAGACCATATCAAAAGGAGAAAAAGTTTAAGAAATGTAAGTGGTGACTATATTTCTCAGTAGTGGAGTGCTTGTCTAGCACGCACAAGGCCTTGAATAACATCCTTGCAGGGGGCTTAGGGGTGTGTGGGCAAGTGGCGTTAAAAGACAACAGGCCAGTTGGCACTACCAATGTCACAATAAAGCTCCAGCCTGATATGTCAGCCTCTCAGTCCACAGCCTTGAGTCTAAGACCATAGAAATGTAACGCCAACCACAAAAATAATTTCAAGTAGCTATGTTACACGGCAAAGAAACAGTAAAGCAAATTAAACAACACAGCCTGCAGAACCCAATCTATATATAAAGTACCACTCAATATGAAATTATAAAATTAATGTTCCTGTGATAAGCTTTTGGATCTTACATGTATATCACATTAAAGCACACTTTACTTCGGACTCAGTTTGAAGCGCGCGAGCGCTGGCAAGATGAATGCTTCATGCCTCTGTGCTTATTCATTCTTCAGCAGAAGCCCAGGAGGATCTGCCTCATCGCCTCAGACACGCTCAAGTGGTAGTTGTTTCCTTCACTTCACCTTGTGGTGTTTACGGATCCCAAGTCAATACCCTGCGATGAGGCCAGGACCCCATTACAGCGGGAGAGGCTTTGCTCCTTCTGGTTCTCGGCACTTGCGGGTAGGCTGCAAGCAAGCAAAGACAGACTCCGACCCCAGACGCTTGCGGCTTCGGAGTTCTTGGCGGGCAGCCCGTTCTTGGGGTCGAAGGCCGACGTCCAGTGGCCTAGGCCCGCGCTGCTCTGACTGCACAGCACCACTCGATCACCTCACTGCACAACTGCCACGCGCATTTCTCAGCGTCGCCTTTTCATGGCGTCAAGCGTAGCCTGAGACGAAGGCGGGACTTCCGGAATCGCCAAGTCACAACTTCCGGACGGAGGCGGAAGCGCCTCTCCGGTCTGCGCTCCGGAGCCTTGGTTATCGCCGAGGGGCTACCGGGGCCCAGGAGAGGGCCGCTGGAGGTGGGCTGGACACGCTCTGGTGTCAGGGTTGCGGATCTGAGGGATGAGGAGGGACCATGGCCAGCGACGGGGCCAGGAAGCAGTTCTGGAAGCGCAGCAACAGCAAGGTCCCGGGCAGGTGGGTGTGACGGGAAGGGCCGGGTCGGGGTCAGGGGTCAGAGGTCAGGTGGCCGAGTGGTCCTGTTGGACTGCGGGTGGAGTATGGGTCTGGGGAGGGGAATCTGGGCTCCGAGGGGACTGCTGGGCGATGTGAGGGGCGGGGGATGGGGGTCAGCAGTGGGAATGTGGGGTCTGGGAGGTGACAGTGGGCGCACCTAGGAGCGAGGAGAACGAGGGGCTGCCCCCAGTGCCTCCGGAGCCTGTCAGGTTTTCTTTTGCGAAACTCCTTGGCTCCCTGGGAAAGCTGAAAGAAACTGACCCGGGTCATTCCTTGAAGAGTTTGGTGGAGTCAGGAAACTGGCCGGGGAGAGGAAGGGCCTGCAGGGGAGGTCGGTCTTGGTAGGGTGTGTTGTGGTTTGAGCACTTGAGTTTTCTTCTCATCTCTTTTGTGGGCTGATGCTTTTGATTTGAGCTGAGAAGCACCTTGGCGAATTTCTATGTTCCCACCTTTTGGCCTCTAGATTCCACTCTTCTGACAGCAACAGGAAACAAAGGATACTAATAAAAAATACCTGGGTACAGTCTGGAAGCTATAGCGCTCCAAAGTCCTTCTGTGATTGGTTATGGCCTGACGCCTCTCTAGGCCTTAGGGAATGAAGTGACGGTGCACAGAAAATACTTAAGATCAAGTCAGCCACTGACTAGACCATGTTTCAGACAAGCCCATCTCAAGATTTCAAATGGAGTTTATTCTGTTCCCAAACCAAAGTCTGAGTTACTGAGATTTAAGATTCTGACATTAGCCATCTCTCCAGCCCTTAAGATTTTGACATTGAAGCAACTTAAATGGAACCACTCATGATCACAGAAAATGGTCTGTGTTCCTGTGCTTCAAAAGAGACACCACTACGTGAGTGTTAAAATTGTAAACTTCGCCATCTACTGCACTCAGGCATAAAATGTGCTTTTCAGAGTGTTTGGGGGTTAGCGGAGTTTACTGACTGCTGGGCTAGCGTGATTTCCAAGCTGGAGGAAGTCCTCGGAGGTGCCCAGACACTGTATTTTTACTGTACCAGGACTGGGGATGATTGAGCAGTTTGGAACTTTTATAGAAACCAATATCATAGTTTAAGACAAATGGAAGATCCTCGACTAATAGTGAGTTGAGATCCTACTGTGACAGAAACAAACATGTAGAGCCTAGTGCCTAGATAAAAAGAACCACATGCCAGTGTAACTTCTCTTGTTGCTTTTACATCTTTAGGCCTGGTTCCCCTCAAGTATGAACTGTAATATAAAAATAATGAGATATAAAAATGACCGAGTTGCTGTGTGGAGTTATAGAAGTCAGTGAGCCTTTCCATCAAAGGCTGTTTGTTGGTAGTGTTTGTTTGTTTTGAGATACAGTTTCTTTTATAATTCAGGCTGGCCCCTGATCCTTCTGCCTTGGTCTCTTGAGTATAAAACTGGGTCACTATACCCGGTGTGGTAGTTTGTCTTTGTACTGGGTTAAACAGTGTCATCCCTAATACCTGTATGTATGGAATTGTGACTGTGATCTTTCTTGGAAGCAGGGTTTGCAGGTGTCATTGAGCTAAGACGAGGTCATACTGTATTGGGGAGGCCCTGATTCAGTCTCTGGTTCCCATAAGAACGTGGAACTTTAGATACAGAGAGAGATAGAAGTAGGGATGATGACCTTGCAAAGATGGAAGCAGAGATTGGAATGATGTGATTACAAGTCAATGCCGGGAATTGCTGGCAACTACCAGAAGCTAGACTGGTAGGAAATGGCCCGTAGAGACTGCACAGCCTGTTGACAACTTGGTTTCATGCCCCCTACCTGTTTAGGCTACTACCCTTTATGGTCGTTTGTTGCAGGGAACTAACAGAGTTCCAGTCTTTTTTGTGTGATCCCACATTACCAAAGACAGACCTCTTCCCTCTCGGCTTTGTTTCTGTGTTGCATATCAGGTACTTTTGAGAACAGCCCTAGAAGGAGACCACAGAATCTTACCTCAGAGTTCCAAACAATGAAGGGAATTTTGTGTAGCAGAACCCTTGTCAATTCCTGGATACTGAAGATGATGGATGGAGTTCCATCAAGGACTCAGTGTTCACCATATGCTGTTCTTGGTGCTCCACCACTATTTGGTCTACCAGGGGTTTGTCATCGGCAAAACATGGCTTTGTCCTCTAGACAGCACTTACCAAGGCAGGTTGGGTTTAAAGCCCCTTGGCAGTTTCTCTAGAAATGTGTGTTACAAACAGGTGTTTCTTTGTGCTATTTCACACCTTTGTAACCTGACCACTGCTCAGCTTTTTAGCCTCATCTCATACTCATTCTTCTTTGTTAAACTGTGCCCTTTGCAGCTCTGATGGGCAAGAGCTTCTAGGGTCTTTCACATCCAGTGATGTACTTACGGAAAGCCATTTTCACGCTCTGTTTAGCTGGCTGAATGTTCCTTCTCTCCTTTACCTTAAAAAGGTAAGGCTTAGCTTACCTTTTTACTTTTCACATTTAATCTGCAACCTGCTTCCTTAATTCCTCATTGGTTCATCTGCAGTTTGGATTCAGGAACCCTTTCATGCACTGGCTTCTTCAGTAGGCTACAAGCTCTGCCTGTTGAAGAAGTACCCCACTTTTCATCTTCATTGTTAAGGACTGAGAAATGGGGGTTGATCCCAGCTGTCTCCCACATTAGCCTGGAGTGAGAAAAAGACTTGGCTAAGAGAGTTGTATGAGAGATGGCCTTAAGACCCCTCTGTTATGTACTTTTTGTGGTCTTTGGATGTGTATTTAATGGAGTCTTTTTTTAAATTTCCTTTCTGGATGAGCTAATATATAGAAAGACTATACCTTCTACCAGGAGGGTAGGGGGCTGAGTGGATTTTAGCTATCTCTTTCTGTGATACTCTCCAATTTGTGCCATTCCTGGAACCATTGGTTTCTGTATTTGTAATGGGAAGGGGCTACATTAGATCAGGTGGCTGTGGCAGCAGCCAAAAGAAGATCTGTCTGACTTATGTCTTAGTGAGGGCTTCTATTGCTGTAACAAAATACCATGACCAAAAGGCAAGTTGGGCAGGAAGAGTTTATTTGGCTTACACTTCCATATCACTGTTCATTATCAAAGGAAGCCAGGACAGGAACTCACACAGGACAGAGACCTGGAGGCAAAAAGCTGATGTAGAAGCCATGGAAGGGTGCTTGCTTGCTCCCCTTCCCCCATGGCTTGTTGAGCCTATTTTTTTTATAGAACCCAGGACCACAAGCTCAGGATGGTACTACCCACAATGGGCTGCATACTCCCCATTGATCACTGTGGAGGCATTTTCTTAATTGAGGTTCCTGAGAGCTTTATAAGTTATTCATCCAGTTAATTTTTATTTAACTCACACTGTTTGCCAGGAACAAAATGGTCTAAAATCTGAGCTCTGTCCACGGAGAGCTGACTGTTGGAAGGTGGGAACTGTCATCAAAGTCCTGCAGGGAAGGAGGGTGGGTAGCTTGGAACCAGATGTAGCTGGAGGGTCCCGTGGTGTTATAGTGGCTGGGCATCTCTCACTGAGAAAGCGTCTTCTGAGTAAAAATGTGTAGGTGGTTAGGGAAAGCACTATGGGGTAGCTGGAGGAAGAGGGCTCCAGGCAGAGGGTTGAGCAAGTACCAGAGGCCCTGCTCCTCAGACAGGGCTGGTCTGAAGGGACGGGAACAAAGAGCCAGAGTGGCTTTGGCTGAGGCAGTGGGCAGGGTTATGTGGTCAGAGCAAGATGTGAGGTGTTGGTCTTTCATTCTGAGTGGGTGTAGAGGACTACAGTAGGGCTTGAGGTGCTGTACGGCAGGGGCAGCTCTCTGTGTAACAGGGCTGCTGTGTAACAGGGATGGGGCCAGACACCACGGAATGTGGTGATGTCTTGTTTTAAGAAGAGAGACTCAGACAGAGGGGGGGAAGGGCAGAAGCAGAGAGACCACGTAGGAGGGCTCTGGGGAGACTTTCATGTTAGGGATAGTGGCAGTTATTCAAGTGGGAAAGGCAGTAAGTAGGTGGACGATAAGAATCAGAAGGCCTGGGTCCCCCTGCCTCTTGTGGGCCTGTACTTTCTGGAGCCATTGACTCAGTTGACTCCTGAAGAGCTGTTGCTTTCTGCCATCATCACAGTTGGAATTCCTGCCACACTCAACTTTAAATGCCAAGACAAACTCCCACTCATCGGGTTTGCACACACAGGCAGCCTTTCAGTGTGGAGCTGGTGCTTAATATTTTAACATAGCTCTGCTTGACTCTGAGTCCTGCTGACAGGAGGGCATGCATTCCACCAGGGTAGGCGAGGAATGGTATTTGGAAGTGCAATGTTGGCAAGAAAGGCCAAGCTCAACTATGGTGAGGTCCTGTGATCTTGGGGTAAGGCTGGGGTAGAGGTGTAGCTTCAAGTCTGTGGCCTGGAAAGCTTTCAGCCCCTACTGTTGGAGGCATGAGGAGTGTAAGCAAATGAGACTACTCAATAGGTCTAATTCAGTGTCAGCTAAAAGGGGAGGAACTGGAGATAATGGAGCCATTCAAACATGGACAAGCACCTTTGACATGCCAGAGACAGAATGCTGCACAAGTAGACGTGGCCTGTGGAGGCCAGTAGGGTAAGGGTCAGTGCATATGTGAATATGTGTACCGACTCAAGTTCTGTGAAGGTCATAATCTGGGCATGTTGGCAGAATACCAGGATCCTACAAGGGGAAATGATCACATCCTTTCTAGGGACACTGTGTCTAAGCTGTGACCTGGAAGTGGCGAAGGAGCCAGGCTTCTCTTAGAGATGCAGGGTGGGCGTCAGGGGCCCCATGTGGCCCGGGGAGGGATGAGAGCAGGCAAAGCACAGCAGGCTGCAAAGGCTTTGGGGCCTTTGAGGCTATGGAGAAGATCTGGGCATGAATACAGAGTCTTGAGCATATTGAAGGTCTTTACCCAGGGCGTGGTGGACAACAACACTACTTCTCAGCCCTGCAGAGTGAGCGAAGGGAAG